TGGGACTACAGGCACACACCACCATGCCCAGCTAATTTTTTGTATTTTTAGTAGAGATGGGGTTTCACCATGTTGACCAGGATGGTCTTGATCTCTTGACCTCGTGATCCACCCACCTTGGCCTCCCAAAGTGCTGGGATTACAGGCTTGAGCCACCGCGCCCGGCAGAACAATTCTCTTTACTCAAAAATAAATAAATAAATAAATGAATTTAAAAAAAATCAAAATCTGGAGCACACAACATAAGGTACTAGAACTACATCCTGCAGGTTATAAAAACAAATACAATTCATGTGAGGTCTATTAATAACTATAATAGCAACATAAGTTTCTATATGTCATAAGAAGTCTGACACCCAAGTGTTAATGTTTAAAAACAAATAAAATGAGGAGAAAATTCTGAAGTCACATAGCAGATAAATGCTAGATTTAAAATTCAAATTCAGATCTAGCTCCGATGCCCTTAACCTTCAGCACACTATACTACACTGCTTCTCTTACAAGTTTAGCAAGAAAACATAAATGTTCTAGGCTGGACATGGTGGCTCATGCCTGTAATTCCAGCACTTTGGGAGGCTGAGGTGGGTGGATCCCTTGAGGTTGGGAGTTTCAGATCAGCCTGGCCAACACGGTGAAACCCCACCCCTACTAAAAATACAAAGAATTAGCTGGACGTGGTGGCATACGCCTGTGATCCCAGCTATTTGGGAGACTAAAGCAGGAGAATCACCTGAATCTGGGAGGCGGAGGTTGCAGTGAGCTGAGATTGCGCCACAGCACTCCAGCCTCAGTGACAGGAGCTAAACTTTGTCTCAAAAAAAAAAAAAAAAAATTTACCATCTAGCCCAACTACCTTCTGTCTCTCAACAGGTCTATATCTGGTTATGCATCCCAGTTCTCAACATTTTAGGAAATAACTGGATTTTAACCTAGCTAGAAAAAGAGAACTACTACAGCTCATTTTTATATCAAGAAACAAGAGTTGTCTTTTTCTTTTTTTGAGACTGAGTTTTGCTCTTGCTGCCCAAACTGGAGTGCAATGACGCGATTTCAGCTCACTGCAACCTCTGCCTCCAGGGTTGCAGTGATTCTCCTGCCTCAGCCTCCAGAGTAGCTGGGATTACAGGCATGCACCACCATGCCCAGCTAATTTTGTATTTTTAGTAGAAACGAAGTTTCTCCACGTCGGTCAGGCTGCTCTTGAACTCCTGATCTCAGGTGATCCACCCATTTTGGCATCCCAAAGTTTTGGGATTTCAGGCGTGAGCAATTGTGCCTTGCCAAGGCTTGTTTTTTTTTCTGTATTAGATGTCATAAGGTCCTCTAATCATCTGTACACCAAAAATATAAATTAAAGCCATTTATAATTTAATGTGGTAGAATTTACTTCAAGTCTACATGCTAATAAATCACTTCTCAAACCACTATGAGGTTATTTAGCAAAGTACTCATTCTGTGAGCTCAACCAGTGTTCATGAGAACTAAGAAATAGCTGGGATTATATAAAAATTATAGGGTCTAAAATTTGAAGTTAAAACATACTTTGCTGCCAATTTGCATGTACTATATAAATATCACTTTAAATATATCTTAAGAATGGGAGAAGTCTTACCTTCTGGAAACCCAGAATTAATCAGAATCTCTTTGAGCTGAACTTTGGCTTCCCAAGTCATTCTTAATGTAGCCATATTAAGTCTTTTGTGTTCACAAAAACGTATCTCTGCTTCTTCTCCACCCATTCTAGCATCATCCCAGGCTTGGAATACTGATAAAAGGGCTACATGATCAGAAAATCTGTTTCCAGCAAAATTGCGATGGATATAGCCCAGCCGCTTTCCTTCATTGATAAAAGGCTCCGGGAAGCAGGTAGCAGCAGCAATGGTACAGATAGCATCTCCCACGCTGAAATACACAGACAGTTAAATTCAGACTAGATCACAATCTTGCTGCCAGCAGCTCAGGTAGTACTGTTGACTGTGGGCTGCAGTATTTATGTCTATGATTCCCTCATTTGCAATGAAACTGGCTTGACGTAGAACTTAAGAGCTGCCCTCCTCAGAGTCGGAAAGAAAAAAGGTGCTCGGATGCTCTAATGGCCACATATTTACCATAAATTATGACCAAGTATATTTTTCTTTTTATATTCTCTCTTTCCTATCATACCAAATCTCTTAATCTTCAACATTGTCTGATAAAATTATTTTCCTGACGCTGCTCTTTCAAGGGACAACTATTAATAAATTAACTTGGGAGGTGCAGCTTCCCCCCACCTTGAGAAGACAGGGTCTCACTCTGGTTGCCTATGCTGGTGTGCAGTGGCATGATCACTGCATCCTCAACCTCCTGGGCTCAGGTGATCTTCCCACTTCAGACTCCCAAGTAGCTGAGACTAAAGGTGCACACCACCAAGCCTGCCTAATTCTTTAGTAGAGACAGAGTTCCACCACGTTGCCCAGGCTGGTATCAAACTCTTGGACTCAAGTGACCCTGCCACCCTGGCCTCCCAAAGTGCTAAGATTGCCCTTTACTACAAGTTGGGCTCAGATACCCACCTACTGGAACTGTGAATTCTTTTCATATTATGCTTCTCTCAGTATCTAGGTATGTCATTTTCCTTAAGAACATTTAGGCTTTTTTTTCCTTCTAACTGAGCCAATGCTGCTTTTACAAAAAGGAGAAGATTCTGAAATTATTCTACACTTAACAAAGAGGAATAAAACAAAGCACTTACTAGAAAATACACCCCATTATCATCATTTTGCCAAAACGAGGCTCAATGGGGAGTTTAGCCAGGATTCGTCCCAAAGGAGTCAACTCATCATTGGCATCTAATGCATCAAGCTCTGTAGGGAGACAGACCTTTGTGAGTACAAACAAATGAACACTAATTTTAGGCAGACAATACATTTCTTTGTAAATTAAGGTTAGTTCACTTTAGAGCTCCTCTTTGTCAAACCAATTGCTAGGTACCATGTCTACAGTCAACAATT